ATACAGAGAGCGAGAACAACGAAGAGCGAGAGCGAGAGCAGGAGCGAGAGAGGACTAGAGAGAGGGGACGAGAGAGAGGGGACGAGAGAGAGGACGAGAGAGAGAGAGAGAGAGAGAGAGAGAGAGAGAGAGAGAGAGAGAGAGAGAGAGAGAGAGAGAGAGAGAGAGAGAGAGAGAGAGAGAGAGAGAGAGAGAGAGAATGAGAGAGAGGGAGAGAACGAGAGAGAAAACGAGAACGAGAGAGAGAGAACGAGAGAACGAGGACGAGAGAGAGAGAACGAGAGAGAGAACGAGCGAGAACGAACGAGAGATAGAGAGAGTGTTCAATAAATTACGATTTCTACGATTTCGAAAAAAAACATGTGTAAAAACAAGATCTAAGCCGACCTAGTTTAGATCTAAGCCGTCCTGTGTTAGAATTAAGTCGACCTAACAAGTATCGAACGCGTTTAAGTTGCAAGTTAGGAGGTTACCTAGCGGAAGTCCCGTAGCCCGTCAGCAGAACGAGAGGAAGTAGGAAAGGGAGGGCTAACTAAGAATAGGAAGTAAATGACGACAATAAGAGCTTACATCTTACCATGAGCTAACAACTCTAAATGACATCTTAAACTTTCTGACCTTGGAGTGGTAGGTGGAGCGTAAGTAGCGTGAGGCAAAAGAACAAGCTCCACTGGCGAGAAGAAAAGAGAAAGAGAAAACGAATCCCTAGAACCTAGAACATAGGCTTAATCAAACTATTTTTTTAAAACGCGGCCAACACAAGAGTAAACAACTATGGTACGAGATTAACGCATGCTAGTCTCGCTAGAAATCAGGTAACTTAATTCTACTTGAAACGGTAAGGTAGAGTTGTTCTCACCTTAGTAGGAACGGGTAGGTGGGGCGTGAGTAGCGGGGAGCTAAACCAGCGAGCGGAAGGGAGGGAGAATGAAAGGAAGAGCCAACCTAACAAAGTGTCAGATTCGTCGTTATGTCATGTAATCTATATAGTCATGTTGCTTTTCTGTGCAGTAGCGCTAGTGCAGTCGGTAGGGGAAAGGCGTTGGGTACGAAGGAGGTAGGTTCGAATAATGCTGAAGCTGCTTTTTCGAGTCTTGCTATAAATGTCAATTACCACAGGTTTTTATTAAAGTATTCGCACTTGTAGAAAATCGTGTACATGTCGTTATGTAAAATGTAAAACTTTGTGTACATATCGTTATGTAAAATGCTTCGCAACCCTAAGACGATTTCGTCGCCTCTTGTTTTTTGGGTTGCGAAGCAACCCTTTACAATCGATTTTGACAAATTTTCTTTCCATGTTTTTTATTTAACACGAAAATAAAATTCGTAAGCTACAGTACCATCCTTCCCATTGTGCATATATTAATTTCTTTTTTATTATAGTAGTTTTTTGCCTATATGCTATACTGTTTGCGTTTTATGTTTTACTGCTTGCCGTTGTTGTGATAATTGCATGTAAAAAATATTACGAATATGAGTAATGAAGTACATACCACGCATGCTTAAATGAATGTAATGCGGCAAGATATATAGATGCATAATACTGATACATGGATGAAAATGCTTTTCCATGAAGCGAAATGCTGAAATGCAACATACGAGATGTCATACAAATGCGTGATAGTTAACGACCCAAAAACTAGGCTACCGCATCCCCTGCCTAGCATGGGGGGGAAGTCAATAGCAAAGTCTTTGAATAATAAACCAACACATGAAAAAATGCAATCTGTTAACTCTAAAAAAGAGGTTCACACTATCAAATCCAGTTCGAAGTGGCAAACACACGAGTCACTGAGTGCGCCAATGAACCAATGAGAAATGATAGAAATGAACCCCTTTTTTTAAATTGACAGACATGCATTAATATTGCAATGATCAATGAGATGAATGCACTCTCACAATCAAACACATTCACACAATCAAAAGCACAAACAGCAGCAAACCCAGCCAAAACACGCGATAATAAATAACATGCAAATCAACATTAAATGGACAATATGACAAGATAAATCCTGAAAGTGACCGATACACATTTTCCAGATTCAAATCCCCTTCCTGAGCAGCAAGACTCTTGAGAAACGGGTTTAGAATGTAGAAAGGAGGAACGAAAGAAATAGTCGGTACAAAAAAAAAAACAGAAAAGGAAATGAGGTGTGATGAAATGACGAGATGCAGGAATAACCAAGAAACGAATGAAACAATACAAGGGCTAAGAAAAACGCCGTGAGCATTGAAAGGTTAGAGCCGACAAATAGAAAGGAGGTACAGAGGCATAAAACGAAAGTAAGGAACGGGAACAGAGGGAAAACACATAAGAGCTAGGTCGTACGGAATGAACGAACGAAGGAGGACATGAAGACCATGCAAGAGGATGTGAAACCGAAAATTAGAGAAAATAGGATGTGAGATGACGGACTGAAAGAAGAAGAGAAGAGATTAGGAAGAAATACGAACTGGAATATCTAAATAAAAAAACGGAATATGTAAACGGAGAATGCGCAGGACGCTGAGTGTCATCATCGGCATCTAAGAATAGAGGAAGTAAAGCTTACCTAAGAAGCTGTAGGTGAGAGTGGCGGCCTCTCCCTTAGCGCGCCTGGCACGAGCAAAAAGTCACCAACGCGCCAAGCACAAGCAGAACGATTCCAGCAAGAAGTTACAAGAGGGAAAACAAAAGAGAAACACGGACGGAGAGAAAATGAGAAGAGAGATAACAATAGCGGATGGAGAGAGAAGGAAAGGAGAAAGACATACGGAACCTTGAATATGCAACAAAACAGGAGTAACAAGGTAGCAAAAACGAAGGCATGATACAAAAAAACGGAAAGGTAGTCTTCACGTGACGAAGGCATGATCTCGAGTTAACTTTCTCCTAGTCAACTTAAGTAGGCTAACGATAGTCTTAACAAACTAGCAACACTTGCTACTCCTACTCTTCCAGCTGCTGCTACTCTCTTACCTAGAAACTGGAATAGCGTGACAGACAGGAGTGGTTGGAGAAGAAGCAGAGGAAAGGAAAAGAAGGAACGTGAAAAACCTAACCACCTCATTCGTCGCGTAAAACTGATTTGTTAAAAATACGAAAGAATATCGACGGGTTTAACTCAATGGTTGAGTTTGGCATCAGAATCGGAAGGTTGCAGGATCGATTCTGGTAGACGAATTTAACCCACAGAAAAGTTTGTAGTTAAATCTTAATGAAGATTGTTTAGTTTTTGAACATCAAATACAACGTATACAACTAGACAAATAGCTTCGCAACCCTAGGTCGACTTTGTCGCCTCTTGTTTTTTTTTCGGCTGCTGTGGCCGTATGCCTGAATTCTCCACTCGGCCCTTCTGTAAATATGTTGCCCCCACTGTGTCTCTTCTGTACTTCGCCAGAAACAGCGAAACCTGACCAGTCTTAGTCCTTGTCTGCGAGTAGAAGATTGGATCAGCTTGAAAATTTGGCTGAAGTCCTCGAATTGTGACTGCAGAAATATTACAGGCCTTCACCCGGATTTTGCAGCGAAAGTTTTGTTAGGAATTTTATACTGTATTCGCCCGAAACCCGTCCACGTTCGACAGTAGCAGCAGCTGATTTCTGCGGGCGAGGCGAAATCGCTACTACAGTATTGTATCCCACGCACAAGATGTACTATACAGGATGCCCGCTAGATACCTTCAACTTCTCTCGTCATTTGGGTAATTAGTGAGCAGAAAGAAATTCGCCTATCTTCGCCATAGTTCGCCACGGGCAAAATCGGGACAGTAGTGGGCAGTTGTAACCAGCGTCTCAAAATATCTTACAAACGGACGGATGCTAGCGTGCTAAGGTGGATGTTCAACGGCTGCGATCAAAATAGGGGCTTGTATCGTGCGTGCAACTGGCTAGGCCTTGCATGCTTGAAAAGAGTTCGCCTCAGAGCGTTTCAGTGCGATGCTTTATGGTCAAGTCTGGTCTAATATATTGTGTTTCAAAATATCTGGGTGATGGTGCCGAGGCGGCCTGCTACTGTACTGGCATCGCCAACTTCACTAGGGCCAATTTCACCCCCCTTAAATCTGCCCGAATTTGAGGATTTTTTCAAACAGTTTGGTTTGAAGGACAGCAACGACAGGGACTGCGCACATGAGTCAGCGGAAAAACAAAAAACTACATGGTCGCAGCGGAAGATTCAGTCTTTGCGCTGCGGTCTCAACATCAGATGGGGCAACATCGAAACTTTACAATGCCTCGAATAGCCTCTAGCTCGTGGGTGTCTGATCCCTATAGCCAGAAAAGGTCAGTTTGGTTTTAAGGAAGAACTGACGAGGCGTGAAATTGGCGAGGACTCGGTGCACTGTCAACAAACTGTCTTGTGGAGGAGCCTCGTCTCCTGAGAGTGCTTGCAGACAGCATATCACCTGCTCATCCAGAGTCTTTGCTCAGGCCTACTAGCAGTGTTTGCTGTCAGCATTGACCCGCAACAAGATCTCGTGGCGTCGCAAACGAGGAACTACTAGTAGTAGCCGCAGCACAGGTGAGGTACTCCCACGAGCTTTACTACTTCACGAACTCCCACAAGTCCATGGACTTGCAAATGCTAGTAGTCTATGGTTGAAGCAGCTCACCCTGGGTGTTCGTGCTAGTAGTCTATGTTTGAAGGGGCCCTGGCGTTCGTCCTACTACAAGTCCTAACTTGGGGGACGGATTTTTTTTTACCCAGAAAACTCGGTGTTTTGTACGCCACGTCGACGCCGCGTCGACGGGTGAGGAGTCCTCTCACGCAGTTCGTCAGTCCCTCACTGGCACGGGGCCATCCCGGTCCTACTTATGACTTATCTTTCATTATCGGTGCGATTTCTGACTCGTCTAAAAAATGTGTCATCATCAGTCATCCGTGGCTCATCTGCATCAGCATCAATCTGAGCGTCGTCCGCACATCCCTCGCCGTCCTTGCAGGACGCCTCGCCGCGTGTGGGGTGGCGGCGTTCGACCTTTCAAGTTCCAGGACCCCTAGACCGCGCGCAACCATGATTGCGACAGGAGGGTGCGGGGAGAGCGGCGCGTCGAATCGAGGGAGCAGTGAGGGAGCAGAAACGCAGGGGAAGACTCTTCGGAGGAGATGGGGAGGACGGTCGAGGAAATCATGCGGGAAGTCGGCATCGTCACGGCACTTCACAGCACACCATGCGCCTGTGCTGCGTGCTCTCTTCATCGTCTCTCTTCTCCTGGCGCCACCCGGGCCATCATGGCTCCTCTTCCCCTCTCCCGCGGAAACGCTCCCACACTACTCGCTCACAGTCACCGCCGACTTTACCCTCCCCATTTTCCTCAGCAATAGTCCCCAGTGTAAGCGACCGAGCGAACTGGGTGGCAAGCCTGTTCCGTGTTCCGTGTTCCGTGTGAAGTGAACTGCGTTCCGTGTTCCGTCCGTGTGAGGCACGTGACATGTTCGGAGGCACGGCTGAGAAGCCATACAGGCACAGCACAGCACAGCACAGCACAGCACAGCACAGCACAGCACAGCACAGCACAGCACCCACGGCATTCCCACGTGGTTCTGTCTGTGTGCGAGTGTCAAACCTGCAGCTGTCACATCGCATCTGCCAATCTGACACGCCATTGTCACGGAGATGCCGCTGCTTCCTGAGCATCCCTTCACTTCACTGCACTGCACTGCACTGCACTGCACGGCACTGCACGGCGCATGTGCATCATCCACCCAGCATGGTTGCCTTGCCTTGCTGGCAGCATCACCATGCATGCACGCATCGACTCGATCCAGGCCGGTTATTGCACCGCACTAGAATGAAATAGCAGGCTGGCAATTCGCTGCTGCACGGTCTTTCTTACTACCACCCACTCCCTCGCATCTCGATGTTTGGCCTCTCATTACAGCGAAACTCTTTTCACTCTCTGTCTGTTGCTGCTGCAGATAACATGGTGAAAGAGTTTGTTTGGAACACGCCCGGCGGCTTTAATGAAAATACGAATTGGACCATTGATTGGAAGGACTGTAGGGACTGGGAGTGGAGGGAGACTGATGGTCTCATATGCGACTCCAGTGGCTACGTCACAGCAATGTACTGTTCCTGTTTCTTCTCATCCTAGTCTTGTGGCAAACGTCTCTGAGGTTTTCCTGCTGTGTGATGTGCGTGCAATGAGCAGTGTTTGCAGCACATCTCACCACTGCCTAAGCTGTGCTGTTCTCGTGTGCGCGCACAAGCAAGCACGCAGAAGCAAGCACGCAGCACACCCATGCGCACAAGCAATCATGCCCGCGCGTTCTTGCCCAGAGACACGTGTGTGTGCCGTGCACTCAGGCATGCCCACACACACCTCGGCCATTCCGTGCCCATGTATGATCCCCTCCCTCGCAGCTTCATCACTAACCTATATGATCCCCTCCCGACCGTACTTTACAAACTCACCACCTTGGAGCGCCTGTGAGTGGGTGGTCGTGGGCGCTTGAGTTGAATGCGCCGTGATTGTTTTGAGACGCCCCTTATCTATTCTTACCTCCTGCGAATCGCACATGGGTCGAGTCATTTTACAGAATGCCCTGTGTGAATGGTACTTGGTTTGAGCACATCTGGAGGGATGGTCTGCCTGCAGCTGTGCTCTGTGAAGCTTTCAGAGCGAGTGACTGTGTGTGAGCTGCTGGTTGTTACTAGTGGATGCCCATGCTCTGGATATCTGTGCATGACCTGTTTGGCAGTTGTTATTGCGGTGGTGGTGGTGGTGGTGGTGGAGGAGGAGGAGGAGGAGGAGGAGGAGGAGGAGGAGGAGGAGGAGGAGGAGGAGGAGGAGGAGGAGGAGGAGGAGGAGGAGGAGGAGGAGGAGGAGGAGGAGGAGGAGGAGGAGGAGGAGCTTTGGAAGTGGGCCAGAGTGCTGGTTTGTCTGTGTCTGTTGCCCGTGTGCGTTGCTGCAGATCATTGATGTGGTCACCAAACACGGATCCAAACCTGTCGCCTGCCATTTCCGACCTCACCCGCCTCACCTCTCTGTAATAGCGTGTCGTGTGCATGCTGCTTGCATGCAGCAGCAGCGTGGTGCTTTTGAGAGTTGTCAAGAGCACCCTTCCAACTTCCACCTGGCTGGCTGGCCTGGCGCATGGCAGCTGATGCATGCATGCACAGCAGCAGATAGACGTGTGATGCGATCATGTGACGTCCAGTGCTGTGCTTACTCTCTCGCATGTGCATGCTTGCTTGCTTCTCTATGCACGCCTGCATGTGGTGCCTGTCTCTGCTTGGCTGCATCTACCACACACGTGCACACACACAAGCACTCACGCTCGCACATGCGCGTGCACACGCGCACACATATACACGAACACACACACACACACACACACACACACACACACACACACACACACACACACACACACACACACACACACACGCAAGCACGCATTCACTCATTCACTCACTTTCTCGCTCGCAGTCACACACACCTCTCTTTGTGCACAATCACCTGCTTCTTTGTTGTTCCAGCCTGCCTTGCGTGGCCCACCGTTTCCCTCCCTTACCCACCCCATTGTTTTCTCGGCCGTTTCATATGTCTTCTCGGCCCCCCTCACACTCCCTCTCCTCTTCTCCTCCTCTCTCTCCACCACACCACGTTCTGTCCGTCCACTGCATCTCTGCATCAGCTCTTTGACACGCGCTCAACTGGGCACAACAGTCCCAAGTGCCATTCTCACATTGACCGGCCTCAACACTCTGTAAGCAGCCAGCCCCTCCCCTTCAAAGTGTCCTATTCAGAAAATATCCCTTACAGTGACCGCCCTCAGCAGCAAAGGTTGTAAGCACCGCGTGCATTCCTCCTCGGAAGCCTCTGCCTGTCTGTTCCCGGAAATCGGGCCCGGCCCTTTCCATCTGATCTGATCTGATCTCCAGTTGACTGACTTCTGAGTCGACTCAAAAGTCAGTTCATTTCTATAATCTCCTCTCCTCATGCCGTGCTAGTTTTGGTAGTTTGCGAGTCAATATTTCCGTCTTCCCCTCCTTGCCACGCTACTATTGCTTCAGGAGCCTGCGGGATGTGGGACTCACGGGTGCCATTGCCCCAGAGATCAGCAAGCTGACTCGACTCAACGACCTGTAAGCCCGCATTCATCATATTCATCCCAGAACAGCCTTAACTCGCGCACGCGCGCGCGTGTGTGCCTGTGTCTGTGCCTGTGTGTCTGTGCCTGTGTGTGCGTGCCTGTGTGTCTGTGCCTGTGTGTGCGTGCCTGTGTGTCTGTGCCTGTGTGTGCGTGCCTGTGTGTCTGTGCCTGTGTGTGCGTGCCTGTGTGTCTGTGCCTGTGTGTGCGTGCCTGTGTGTCTGTGCCTGTGTGTGCGTGCCTGTGTGTCTGTGCCTGTGTGTGCGTGCCTGTGTGTCTGTGCCTGTGTGTGCGTGCCTGTGTGTCTGTGCCTGTGTGTGCGTGCCTGTGTGTCTGTGCCTGTGTGTGCGTGCCTGTGTGTCTGTGCCTGTGTGTGCGTGCCTGTGTGTCTGTGCCTGTGTGTGCGTGCCTGTGTGTCTGTGTGTGCACGCACGCCATGCCGTCAATCCATGATCCATCCACCATGTGTACCTGCAATGCCACTTCCTTGTCTGCATGCACTGCAACAATGTTATTGTTTGAGCTGCGGTATCATGCCATGTCTCATTGCTATCTCTCCATGCTGCCTCTCAGTGCTATCTCTCCATGCTATCTCTCCACCCCGTGTCTTCCCTTCCCTTCAAGTGACTTGTCCTACAACTTGCTGGCAGGGCCCCTGCCAACCGTCCTCTGTATCCCTACCCTCACAAGCTTGTAAGTACCAACCACCTACCAATGCACTCCCTCCTCTCCCCCATGTTCAGTACCCACGTAACCACACTGGCATTTGCTGTCTTTTGGGAAATGCCTTGGTTATTAAGGAGGTGCCTGGGGGCCCCACTGTATCTCCTGTGGTGTGAGGCACGGCTAGGGAATGTGCCAGTGTATCTCTCTTCTCCTGCTCCTGGAAAGAGCACAGTACCACCAATATCTATCCATCCGCCTATTCATCCGTCTGTCCATCTATCCATCCGTCCATCCATCTATCTGACCATCGATCCATCCGTCCATTCATCCGTCCGTCCGTCCATCCATCCATCCATCCGTCCATCCATCCAGTCAGTTACCAGTGTCATCTCCCTGAGCTGGAACATAGCTTAGCGGCCGGTTAGTCCATCGTCCCTCCCTGCCTCGCCATCGCACCACCGCAACAACATGGCACTCCTTTGCCGGAGGCTCGCCTGCGCAATGGCTACTAGCTACAGCAGCCCCACATCGGCCCTCAAGTGACCCTACACACACTGACACAGTCCGGAGTGCTGGCTCCAGGCGCTGCTGCCTCTGCCTGTCTCTGCCTGCCTCTGCCTGTCTCTGCCTGTCTCTGCCTGCCTCTGCCTGTCTCTGCCTGCCTCTGCCTGTCTCTGCCTGTCTCTGCCTGCCTCTGCCTGCCTCTGCCTGTCTCTGCCTGTCCTGCGCGGCTAGTTGGTTGGAATCTGGATGCTTGGAACGCGCTCTTCGAGCCCTTTTGAGACTCTTCGCATTGAGAGGCCTCAGATTGAGACGTTTCAGAGTCTGCTTGAAGTGCACTCTCCATGCATGCGTGCGTGCATGCGTGCATGCATGCGTGCGTGTGTGCGTGCGTGCGTGCGTGTGTGCGTGTGTGCGTGCGTGCGTGTGTGCGTGCGTGCCTGCGTGCGTGCGTGCGTGTGTGTGTCCCTGCGTGCATACGTGCGTGCGTGTGTGCGTGCGTTTGTGCGTGGGCAGGGCCTTGACCGTCAACCTCTTCACGTCCATCCCCGCGGCGGTCTCCGTCATGAAAAGCCTCAAAAGCCTGTGAGCACTGCTCTTACCCACCGCCCTGCTTCAGCTTAGTTGTCCTGGCTGTCCTGGCTGTCCTGGCTGTCCTGGCTGTCCTGGCTGTCCTGGCTGTCCTGGCTGTCCTGGCTGTCCTGGCTGTCCTGGCTGTCCTGGCTGTCCTGGCTGTCCTGGTTGTCCTGGCTGTCCTGGTTGTCCTGGCTGTCCTGGCTGTCCTGGCTGTCCTGGCTGTCCTGGTTGTCCTGGCTGTCCTGGTTGTCCTGGCTGTCCTGGTTGTCCTGGCTGTCCTGGCTGTCCTGGCTGTCCTGGCTGTCCTGGCTGTCCTGGCTGTCCTGGCTGTCCTGGCTGTCCTGGCTGTCCTGGCTGTCCTGGCTGTCCTGGCTGTCCTGGCTGTCCTGGTTGTCCTGGCTGTCCTGGTTGTCCTGGCTGTCCTGGCTGTCCTGGCTGTCCTGGCTGTCCTGGTTGTCCTGGCTGTCCTGGTTGTCCTGGCTGTCCTGGCTGTCCTGGTTGTCCTGGCTGTCCTGGCTGTCCTGGCTGTCCTGGCTGTCCTGGCTGTCCTGGCTGTCCTGGCTGTCCTGGCTGTCCTGGCTGTCCTGGTTGTCCTGGCTGTCCTGGTTGTCCTGGCTGTCCTGGCTGTCCTGGCTGTCCTGGCTGTCCTGGTTGTCCTGGCTGTCCTGGTTGTCCTGGCTGTCCTGGTTGTCCTGGCTGTCCTGGCTGTCCTGGCTGTCCTGGCTGTCCTGGCTGTCCTGGCTGTCCTGGCTGTCCTGGCTGTCCTGGCTGTCCTGGCTGTCCTGGCTGTCCTGGCTGTCCTGGCTGTCCTGGTTGTCCTGGCTGTCCTGGTTGTCCTGGCTGTCCTGGCTGTCCTGGCTGTCCTGGCTGTCCTGGTTGTCCTGGCTGTCCTGGTTGTCCTGGCTGTCCTGGCTGTCCTGGTTGTCCTGGCTGTCCTGGCTGTCCTGGCTGTCCTGGTTGTTTGTATAGTCGACTCACAACAACTGGGCATCTCTCTGCATTCCAGTGCAGTGCAGTATTGTGCAGCTGAGTGCAATGCGGTGCAGTCCAGTCCAGTCAGTCCGTGAGCAGTAACAATTCCTTGTTCTTGACCTCTCGATGAACAGCCTCGTCTGGTTTGCGGTCACACTTAATCTACTTACTTCCTGTGATCCCTGCAACTTTTGATGCCCACACATTCTCTCTTCCCTTCCCCTCCCCCTTCCCTCTCCCCATCCCCACTCCATACTCCGCCCCTTCTAGTTCAATCTTTTCTCTGTGCTGTTTTGTGTAATCATCCTTTTTTGTTGTCAGTCGCTTGGATCGCAACAGGCTCTCAAGGCCCATTCCTCCTCAGACGATTTTTGAGGCGCCTCAAAAACCTTTTTCTCTGTGCTGTTTCGTGGGATCCCTTTCGGTCTCAGTCGCTTGGACCGCAACAGACTCTCAGGGTCTATTCCTCCTCAGATCAGTCTGATGAAAGACCTCTATAACCTGTGAGCATGCCTACCTTCTGTGTGTATGCACTGCATATGCATGCGTGCCTCATGCCTGCATACTGACTGACGGACGCATGCTTGCCTACTGACTGAGACATCCTTGTCACATCACAGGTTCGGTCGCTCGCCATTCATGAGTTTGTTACCCTGAAGTGTTTTTCCCTGTGTCTGGTGTCACCACCACTTCAACACTGCTCTGGTGGTCATCACGTGTGCTTCTTTGCCTTGGCCTGCCAGGGAACTGCAAGATAACGCGCTGACAGGGCCCATCCCCGCGCAACTCTCTGGCTTGCGCTCGTTGAATTACCTGTGAGAAAACAATGCAATGCAATGCAGCGCAGCGCTGTCCTCTTGCTTTTGACGCGCCTCAACAACCGAGCACATTTGAGAACGCTGCACTGTGTGTCGTGTCATGTCGTGTCATGTCGTGTCGTCTCGTGTCGTGTCATGTCGTGTCATGTCGTGTCGTCTCGTGTTGTGTCGTGTCGTGTCGTGTCGTGTCGTGTCGTGTCGTGTCGTGTCGTGTCGTGTCGTGCCGTGTCGTGTCGTGCACCCAGTGTGAGAGGCAGCCTCCAACTAGCTCTCGATAATTCTTAACAACCGGCAATCAGTAATGCTCCACTCCACTACTTTCTCACATCGCATGTGTCCGTGCCGTGCCTGCTGCACATGAGATGCTTGCACACCCTCACACATGCAATGTCTTGCATGCACAGCTTTGCTTACTTCTCTATGAGAATTGTCAAAGTAGCTAGCTGAATCGTCAGAAGTACAGCTCTGTGCTGTGGGTCAGCAAACGTCATTGCCAGCAAACTTCATTGCCAGTGCTTTCTCAGATGGTGGTGCTGCTACCATATGTCTGTTGAGGCGCCTCAAATATTCATGTCCGGGGCATATTCATGTCCGGGGCATATTCATGTCTGGGGCATATTCATGTCTGGGGCATATTCATGTCCAAGCACGTGACTGCCGTTGCATGGGGCATTTATTTGTGTCGCCTCCTTTCTAGAATTGTCATAAGTGGCCGTGCTGGCATGTGTGCTGCAGTCAGTTGCAACACAACAAGCTATCGGGTTCGCTTCCAACATTTCCACCACTCATGAAGGCAATGTGAGACCCAGCCTCTCTCTCCTCCCTTCCTACTAGCCCACAGCTCACTCACCAGACTTCCCCTCCACGGCCATCATTCTCTCCCCTCCCACAAGCTCTTCTGGCCTCCTCTGACCTCCTCTGGCCTCCTCTGACCTCCACTGACCTCCTCTGACTTGATCTGACTTGATCTGGCTTCTTCATATTCCCATCTGACCCCTTTTGACCGCACATCTAGAATCTACCTTTCCGCTGAAATTTCTTTGGTCCATTCTTCTGTACGAACTTGAGTTGGAATTGATAGATTGGGTATTGGTAGAGCTCCAGGCTCTTCAAATGCATTCGGAGGAATGAGTTGGGAAGGAAGGGTATGGAATCCAAGGCATTTGCCAGTCATATAAGATGAAGGCTTGAATCGGTGTGTTGGGATTTCGGTTCATCACATTTGGCCAGTAACAGCTACTTCTTGCCTTTGCCCTTGCCTTTGCCCTTGCCTTTGCCCTTGCCCTTGCCCCTGCTGCAGCAATCTGATGAGCAACCAGCTGGATGGAAGCGTCCCAAAGTCGTTCACTTCTCAGAAATACCTCCTACAGCTGTAAGCTCCTCCTCCTCCTCCTCCTCCTCCTCCTCCTCCTCCTCCTCCTCCTCCTCCTCCTCCTCCTCCTCCTCCTCCTCCTCCTCCTCCTCCTCCTCCTCCTCCTCCTCCTCCTCCTCACCATCTACTCCTCTTTCATACGTACCTCGAATACCTTATCTCCTATTCCACCCCAGTCCCCATCCAGTCATCCCGTACCCGTGCTTTGCTTCTGGGCATTAGAAATGCTGCCTATCCGCATCTTCTCTTTTCCTCTCATCCAGTGCCCGCACTCCAGTTCTTGGAATTGGTGTTGGGTTGGTGTTACTGAGGCTGCCATTGCTATTGGTCTTAATGTTTCATCTTGATGTTGAACATCATGGAGCCAGCCTCCTAGCGTTTAGAGTTCCTAGTTCTCAACCGATTTCCACCCAGTGGCACTACAACTGCAGTGCAGCCCGGCCCGTGGTCACCTCCATTCACACCCTTTTCTCTCTGCTCCTCTCATCTCTATGCACTCTGGACTCCTTACCTACCTCTATTAACCACGAACCTTGTTCCTGGCTTATCCACACTGGCAATCAACCACGAACCTGATGACTTGTCTGAGTCGACGTGACCACCAAGACGAATTGTGCTTGTCGTTTCCATGCACTGCGGGCCCCGTACCGTACCGTACCGTACCGTACCGTACCGTACCGTACCGTACCATACCGTACGTACCTCTCTCATGCAGGAACCTGGACAACAACAGGCTCACGGGATCGGTGCCTGTTGGTTTCAGCGCTTCCATTGAGAGAATGTCAGTCACTCGTGTGCCTTGTTTCGCTGTGCCGTTTGCTGTGCTGTGCTCGTTCTGAAGATCGTTTGTTTGGATTCAGTCATGCCTAGGTAGGTTTGGGATTCCAGCTTGCTGCCGTTTGATTACGTCATCCTGTGTATTCGTATGTTCGTGTGCATGTGCGTGCGTGCGTGCATGACATATGTGTGTGGGGAGGGGGGGGTTGCATTCGTGCATGCGTGTGTGTGTGTGTTGGAGGGTGGAGGTGGCGAAGGGGGAGGGGGCATGTGTGCGTTTGCGTGCATGCTCGCACATGTGTTGAGGATGAGGTGAGGGGCGGGTGATGATTGAGGCCAGTTCGTTGCGCAACAACCAACTCACGGGCAAGATTCCGCCCAGCTTCTTCAAAGTCAACCAGGCACAGTAAGCTCCACTTTCCTCTCCTGGCCCCAACACACAAGTGATGATGCCAACAATATGCCATCATACTAACACAGCTCATCCACATGTCTCATGACATCCATGTCAGTACATGCGCCACCACTTTGTCATGCCACCACTTTGTCATGCCACCACTTTGTCATGTCAACTCAACACTTCAACTTATCACGTACCGGACTTCTCAAAAGCCAGCACACCACTGCATCATCATGTCGACTCAACTCCTCTCATCAGATTAACAACACAGGTCATCCGCATGTTTCATGGCATCCATGTCTGTGCGTGCGTGCGTGCGCCATCAACACCTCTCATGAGTTCCTCTTTGCTCCGTCCTTTCTCCTCCTCTCTTGTCTTCGTATTTACTGTCAAGTTCGTGCGGCACTGTCACTGTTTCCCTCTTGCCTCTGCTGCATCAACATCCTCAGAACACTGTAGTTCATTCATTCATGTCATACTGGCAACACTCCATTGGCCGCCATTGTGCTCTCTCCTTGCTTGCTTCCTTTCCTCTCAGCACCTCTCCTCGTCACCATCTCTCTTTCTCCCTCAACACCCTTGGCTTCTCCACTGGTTGTTCCTTTCCTTGCAATCTCAGGCCAGTAGCGGGGAACAGTGTGCAAACAGCCCAACTCATCACCATCCAAGCACTGGGAGAACTCACGTATCTGTGCGTACCCCACTGACCTGCCCAGCACCATTCAGTACCTGTCAATACCGGTTGCTGCCGTTCTGTACAGGTTCGCACCGGTGGTTAGCACCACACGTGCACTATCTACTTGTTATTGTTCATTGCATGTGCAACGTGCTGTAACCGCCTTCTCAAGTGTTCCTAACACACACACACACAGAGTATGCAAAGCTCTGCCTCTATCTGTACAACGAAACATGTGCTTCACCCACCATCAGCGCTTGCCATCTCTTCTCCCAAACGCAGTGACCTTAGCTCCAACTCCCTTGAAGGAAACATCCCCGATCAAATGTCCGAGCTCACGAAACTGTGGACGCTGTAAGCACTCTGCTACCCGCCTCCTCTATGCCAATGGGATTCGATTCTGAGAATTCACAAATGTGACTCGCATCTTCTATGCCAATGCAGTGACCTTAGCTCCAACTCTCTTGATGGAACCATCCCCAATAAGATGTCCACGGTCACGCAACTCATGACCCTGTAAGCACTGTGCTACCCATACCCGCCTCTTCGTTCCACCCCGAGGCATTGCCTCTTCCTTTGTAATATGGCGGTGGGAGGGCATGATCGGAGTGCATGATCGGAGTGCATGATCGGAGCCCCCTATCTTTCTCTCTCAATCTTCTGAGCATGATCGGATTGCTTCAACCAACAGGAGTGCCCGCACCCTATGCCTGGAAAAATTTCTATCAATCAAACGCTCAGCATGATGCCGTGTGTATGTATTCCCCAACGCAGTGACCTTAGCTCCAACTCCTTTTCTGGAAGCATCCCCGATTGGATATCCACGCTCACGTATTTAACCACGCTGTAAGTGCTGCGCTTGCACGTCTCACTGTGCTGTCAGTCAGTACTGCACTGCACTTCGCAGCACATCTGTCTTCCTCTCCCCTGACTGACAGGTCGATGGACCCCTTGCACAGAGTTGAAAGGGTTCGAACCCTTTCAACCCTTTCACGACTGTCTGCTTGCTTGCATGGTGCACACAGACAGGTACAGCTCCTCATCATCAAACGTTTCGACCAATCAAAGCATGCCATTTGTACTTTGTACTTTGTACTTCCCCCCTGGCAGTGACCTTAGCTACAACTCCCTCAATGGGACCATCCCGAGCGGAGTAGGCGAGCTCGGGTATCTCAATGTGATGTACGTATCCCTTCCCGCCTCCTCCTGTGCAACCTGCAGCACTGCTCCTTCCCTCCCCAGCCCATTTTAACTTTACCCACCACTTCTTGGTGGTTTGGTGTTCCTTCTTCGGAATTTTCATATCGCATCCAGAGTAGCGGTTGCACTTCCTCCTAAATCGCCATGTGCTTAAGAATACCCACCCTCTCCCTCTGTGTTGCACCCTATGCGCCCATACCAGGGACCTGAGCAACAATCAGCTGAGCGGGAGCATTCCGCAGAGCCTGTCTCGTCTTCGGTATATGACAATGCTGTGAGTGACTTATGGGGCGGGTCGTTGCTTTGTAGTTTCCATGCCTCAAGTCTTGTCTCTGGCAACTGACTGTCCTTTGAGTGTGTCAATGCTCTGTTTGTAGAGCCCACACACGCGTCCACTCACTGGTATAAGTAAGTACTCTGTGTGCGTGCCTCAGTACATTATGTGCCAAACGTTTAGCCGAGCAATGTCCTGTGCAGCAACTATATGCGGTGCAGCAATGTGCTTATCTTATTTCTCTCCTCTCTGCCTAAAGCATCATCTGTTTGTTTCCACCAACCTGCATGCGTGCACCCCAATACAACTCAGTGCATCGCCGTACATGTCTTGTCTGTGGTAACAATGTCATGCCATGTGTTCTCCCCAACGCAGTGACCTGAGCAACAACCTGCTTAATGGAACCATCCCCGATCAAATATCCGAGCTCCAGCAACTCAGTGTGCTGTAAGCAACTCAGTGTGCTGTAAGCACTGCGCCACTACCCACCTCCTCTTCCCTGCCCCAATGCTTTTCCTCTTCTCTCCCGAGAACGTTGCAATTCCGTGCTCATCTCTCGTTCCTCAGCCTCGTTTGCTTGCATCCTCCTCTTTCCTCCTCCTCTTCCTCCCCCACTAATTGGCGCCTCATTGAATTAGCGAATACGGACCTGTTGCAACTTTTGAGGCGCCTCAAATGTTGCTCATGTTGCATTCAACTCTACATCTTGTGCTCCCTGTTCTAGCACACGCCTCAAAACTTCCCGTGTCTCTGTTTCTTACCCTCTGCGCCCATGGCAGTGACCTGAGCAACAATCGCCTGAGCGGGAGTGTGCCACATGGCTTGACCGGACTCACTCAGCTCACAGTCCTGTGAGTCGTCTTATGTGTTATATTCCACTGAGTTTCCATTCTTTGTACCAGCATCTTTTGCGATATGCTGTTGTCGATGGTTGCACAATCATGCAAGTGTTACTGGATCGCACACTCAACTACAATTGGCTTGAAAGACCAGTGAACAACATGATTTACAGTATGTGAGTGTCAATGGTTGTCTGCTTCACCACCTCCTAGTGGATTACAGCGTGAGGAAGCGGTTCTTTGCACTGCACCGCTTTGGACCTTGATGTACCCAACTGAACCCTTACAATACGTACATCCTCAGGGACCATGGAACTTCCAATCCAAGAGCTGAAACCTAAGTCCTACGCTCCAGGGACAATCCTACGCTCTCCATGCCATGCCCTTGGGCAATCAGTATCACAATCTTTCATCCTTCTCACAATGACTTCCTTTTGCATTATCTTCCCCTTTCCCTTCTGTCACTCTCCTTCATCCCTATCACTACACCCCACTTTTTCTCCTCCGAGGCAGAAGCCTGCGCAACAACCAGCTGAGCGGCTGTTTGCTGCAGCCCATCCCGCCATCCGTCAAGAAGTACCAGCTAGACAGCAACTTCTTCTCCTGCGGCTTCTCCTCTCCGCCCGACTGCTCCCAGACCATCATAGCCGTGCAAGCCAACTGCCTCGGCGCCACTTACGTGCCTCCCTGCCCCATGGACCCCCAGCGAGTGACAGAGGTCTGTGCGTCCTTCTGCGGCCTCTCTGCCACCTCGCTTCCTTGCGCCGGGCACGGCACATGCTTCTATTCTGGTCCCAACAGGATCCCCACGTGCGCCTGCAACACCGGGTATACCAACGGGGAGCTCCCAGGGACGTGCGTGGCTGTTGCTGCTGCCGGTGGTGCTACTCCTGCTGACTTCTCCCTTCTGACCTCGATAAGTGTTGCTTCTGGCGATGGTGGCGGTGCGGCGATGGCGGTGAGTGGAGCAGCAGCGACGCAGCCGGATAACAGCGTGGTGCTGACGAGCAACCAGGAGGCGGCGTGGGGAGCGGCGTTCCTGGTGTCGCGCGTGCGCCTCTTCTCCTACGCCGTCAAGAACCACTCGTGCGGCCGCGAGATCGCCCTCAAGCTCTCCTTCTCCTTCTCCATCGCCCCGGCCACCGCCAGCAACGGCGTCGACAAGGGCGGCCTCGCGTTTGTAATCGCGGCAACGAATGCCGTCCCTGGTGGTGACGGCAGCACGTTGGGTTACTCCGGCATGAATGAGCGCAGTATCGCAGTGGAGTTCGACACGTTTCAGGATGCAAGCAGCAGCGACCCGGACAGCAGCCACGTGGGCATCAACATCGGTGGCTCCGTGGTTTCTATCTCCACTGCGGCCGTGCCAGGGCTCAACTCAGGGAGCACCAAGTATGCATGGATCGACTACTCTCCGGGGAAAGGCGGGCTGCTGGCGGTGTATGTGGGTACTACGGCCTCTCGCCCCGCGAAGCCGGTTCTCAGGCGCAGCGTGTCGCTGTGTGGAGTGCTGAAGCCCACATTTGAGGATGCAACGTTTGTGGTTGGCTTCACTGCGGCGTCGTCTGACCCCCCTCAAAAGCACACAGTGTTGCAGTGGTCGCTGGATACAGGTACCCGTTGCTTGGTGGGATTGGAAGGGGATGGGATGGGATGGGATGGGATGGGATGGGATGGGATGGGATGGGATGGGATGGGATGGGATGGGATGGGATGGGATGGGATGGATGTGATGTGATGGGATGGGATGGGATGGGATGGGATGGGATGGGATGGGATGGGATGGGATGGGATGGGATGGGATGGGAAGGAATGCTGCCTGCCAGCCCGGATTACGATTTCGCTTCGCTTGAATTGCTTCCCCAACAGGCAATCGTCTCTTGCTGCCAGAAGTGTGTTGCTTCCCTTCGCTTCTCTTTTGAGGCGCCTTAAAAGCTGCTTCGCTTCGTCTCTCTCGTGTTGCTTCTACTCCCTTGTGGAAAATAGCTTTCCTCGATACCATGCTTTTTCCTCGATATGTACTGCTGTACCAATGGCACTTCGCTTAGTCAGACTTTTCCCTCTTGCTCTTTCCCTTTCTCCCGCAGATTTTCCAACCCAGGACACCGTAACAGGTACGGCAGGCCATGTTAAAGTTTCTGCATGGTCCAAGCAATTACCTCACATGTATGTTGAATGTCAAGTTACAAGGGAATACGAACCTAACCTAGCGCAAAACAGGAACACCTAGACAAAAACTAATGGAACAATATAAATTGTAGTTTGACACAACCCCATCATCTAGGTGGCAGCAGTCCTGTGGAAACCCACACATATCTCATGATGGATCATAGAGTCACCACACAGTCTGAGACCAAGGAGCACATGGCAAGTCAGTCAGAACAAGCAATGGTCACAAGACCAGTTAAAAATAACAAGAATCAAACAAGAGATGCAAATCAGGGTGGAGCACAAAGTCACCATACAGTCTGAGAGCAAACAAGTGGTCACAAGGCCAGTTCACATGCATGTATATAGATATATGTATATGTATATGTATATAGAGAGATGCAAAAGTACAAAACAAAGCATCTCTACAAAAGCGAGTGAGATCAGCCGGTAGAAGACCAAGTTGCGCAGTCAAGTAACCTCGTTTCCAAGACGCACGAGACTGCTACGACTGACTGCCTCTTATCCACTCCGATGCATCATCATCGTCTGTACTTCAGTTCACCTTTCTATTGATCTCGTTTCCTGCCCGCACTGCTCTTTTCTCTCTCCCTTGCTCCCCCATCCCTCTGCCATCTCTACCCCCCCCCAAATCACGTGCCCTCCGCCCTGCTTCCGCCACCACAGCCCTGCCGCTGGGCTTCACGCTAGCAGAGGCCTCATTCACCACCTCAGGAGTCAACCTCTACTTCCGCTACGCCAGTGCCGGTGCGCTGCAACCCCCTGCAGGAGCAGCACCAGGGGCGAGCACGGACGTGGAGCAGCAGTGGGCAGTGGCGACCAACATGACATGGGTGCGCACAGACCTGCTGCCCAACTGGTCAGTGCCCAACCAGGCGGGGTGTGGCAACTGCTGGGCTTACGCTGTCGTGGCCAGCATAGAAGCCGCCTACGCCATCCTCTCAGCCAATGGCTCTCTGCCTGTCTTCTCCGTTGACTCGCTTGTTGCCGACATGAAGGCTGACTGTTCCGGAGGGTCCCCCTCCAAGGCCTTCCAGTACCTGCTTTCTGTTAGCAAGCGCGGCGGCGGGCTGGAGGTGCAACAGGTTGGAGGAGGAGGAGGAGCAAGGGTAAGGAAGGGCGGAGGGAGGGGTGCGACGGGTGTGGCTGTGGCAGCAGGAAGCGGCGATGCGGTGGGGTTGCAGGGGAAACAAGGGAAACAGGGGACACCGACAGCAGCAGCGGTGGCGGCAGCTGCGGCAGCAGCGGGTCAGAGTCCGCTGTGCTCGCCGTTGCTGAAGCCGATAGCAGCTCTGTTTGGAGTGAACTGCACGCCACCCAAGCAGAGAACGGGACCCACTGTGGTGAGTGCAGTGCGTGCTCTTTTGAGACGTCTCAAAGGTGAATAGCACACCATCCACACAGAGAACGGGGTCCAGTGTGGTGAGTGCAGTGATCTGAGGCTCCTAATTGCCACCAAGAATGTCATAACCAAGAAGCATACATTCACCTCCATTCTCACATCGCATTGCACCTGGGCTGGCTGGCACGCAGGTGCGTCCGGGCTACAGCATAACGGGCTTTGAGCGGGCGGCATTCTACAGCTGGTTCGGCCTGGTGCTGGCGGTGCAGCGGCAGCCAGTGGTGGTGCACATAGAGGCGTCTGCTGATTCCTTCCTCAACTACGATGGGGTGAGTGGCTGTGTTTCGCCTTCATTCCATCCGTTCATCCCTCGCACCTCTACACTTGTAGAGCCTGTTGGGAGGGTGGGTGGGTGGGTGGGCTGGCGGGCGGGCCAGCACGTGGGCGGGCGCGCGGGTGGGCGGGGTTCTCTGAAAGGCACACCTGGAAATCACTGGTCTTCCTCTGCAGTCCTCTCCTAATCCGCTTGACTTTTGAGGCGCCTCAAAAGTTCCTGTCTGCTTGATCACCAGCCACCTCCCCACCCTTTCACACGTCTGCATTTCTCGTTCCTGCGCTATTTTTCTTTCTTTCTTTCTTTCTTTTTCCGCTATAGTACATTACAAGAATGCAAAAATATCAGCTATGAGACATGCGTTTTTCTCAACCCCACACTCCCTACACGCATCCATTCCCGCAGCTACACAAGTACCAGGACCCAGCGTGCTTCACGTACAACCTGAACCACGTGGTGCTGCTGGTGGGGTACCGACTGGTTGGGTTTGACGAAGCCTTTCCCCACATGGCGCCACCTTATTGGATCATCCGCAACTCATGGGGGCCTGATTGGGGCGATGGGGGCTACATGCTCATGGACATCCAGGGAGGGGATGGCGTGTGCGGCATCAACACTCTGCCGGGGATCTACCCCATCGTTCTTGGTATGATGATTTCAGTGTCCCCACACAGTATCCCCCTCTGTACATGCTCTAGCAAACCATCCATCCTCCTCTCTAAACCCCCTCCACCCTCGCCCCAACCCTCTGTGTGACCCGACCCCATCCCGACCCACCTCGCCCCACCCCACCCAACCGCACTCCACCCAGACAAGCAGGACCCGTGCAATGGCCGCGCGCACCACGATACAATCGGTGCCGTGTTGAACCCGTGTGGCAACTTTGCGTGCACTCGGACTGCTGACGGCAAGTCCAACCGCTGCGACTGCAACACCGCAACCGATGGCCGATTCATTGAGGCCATCAACACCGATGGCTCCCGCACCTGTGCCTACGGTATGCCTCATGCATGCCCGCTCCTGCTCCTGCTCCTGCTCCCGCTCCCGCTCCCGCTCCCGCTCCCGCTCCCGCTCCCGCTCCCGCTCCCGCTCCCCCTCCCGCTCCCGCTCCCGCTCCCGCTCCCGCTCCCACACCTGTCCTGTGCGTCACCTTCGCGTACATGTGCACTGTAACTCACCTGTGCATATGGTACCATTGCTCCCTTACCACGACTCACCTGTGCATATGGTGACATGGCTCCTGCACTGCAGCTGCGGCTATGGTAGACTGGGCTCTATTCTTATCTACCAGCAACTTCTGGGCAACAACTGGTAAAAAACTGCCTGCAACAACTGGGCGTATGGGGATCTCCGCTCTCCATCTGCTTCTGTGTTTGTCTCCCACATGGCCACGTTGCCGTGTGCACCTTCCATCCAGCCATCCCTGTCGCCGATGTATCCATGCTCCTCTCGCACACTTACAAACAACACACCCTCAACCCCGCTTCCGTTCCTCGTCCCTTTCCCTCTTGATCCTCTATCCCGCTTGTTCTCTCTTTCCTCTTACACTCTTTCCAGCTCTCCCCCCCCCCTCTTGCAGTGGATGCCTGTGCAGCGCAAATCCGCAACCCGTGTGCGGTGGGCACGTGTGTGAATGACGGGGCGGGGTCGTACTCGTGTGTGTGTCCACCGGGCTTCAGGCAGGGCACCACCGTCGATGGCACCTTCTCCTGTGCTCCCGGCAGCACCAACGGCACCTACACCGTTATCTCAAACAATGTCAAGTGCTCAGACGTCTTTCCCATCTACGGACTCTCTCTGGAGCAACTCAAGCAGCAGAACCCGGTGCGCTTCCGTGCTTGCTGTAGTTTCTTTCTCTATTGAAGCGCCTCAAATGTCATCTTTCCCATCTACGGACTCTCCCAGTAACAACTCAAGCACCAGAGCCAGGTGTGCTTCCGTGCTTGCTCTCTAAAGACTGTGGATGGGTGCATGCGCACTTGTGTGCGTGCAATGCGTGCTCCTGTGCTCCCGGCAACACCAACGGCACCTACACCGTTATCTCAAACAATGTCAAGTGCTCAGACGTCTTTCCCATCTACGGACTCTCTCTGGAGCAACTCAAGCAGCAGAACCCGGTGCGCTTCCGTGCTTGCTGTAGTTTTCTTCCTCTATTGAAGCGCCTCAAATGTCATCTTTCCCATCTACGGACTCTCCCAGTAACAACTCAAGCACCAGAACCAGGTGTCCTTCCGTGCTTGCTCTCTAAAGACTGTGGATGGGTGCATGCGCACTTGTGTGCGTGCAATGCGTGCTCCTGTGATCATTCCCCACGCTCCCCCCCCCCCCCCCCTCTAGTTTCCTCCCTTTGGTCTTTATGTTTCAGTTCATTCCGTTGAAATTGGTGCGCTTGTGTGCTGCCAATGTATTTCTTCTTGTGTTGCTTCTTTCTTTCTGCACCCTCTTTCCTCCCTCTCACCCAATCACCTCCGTCCTACCCTCCTTCCCTCCCTCCCCCACTCCCTCCCCCCCTCCCTCCCTTCCCCCATCCCTCCTTCCCACTCCCTCTCCCCCTCCCTTTCCCCTCCCCCACTCCCTCCCTCCCTCCCTCCTCCCCTCCCTCCCTCCCTCCTCCCCTCCCTCCCTCCCTCCCCCACTCCCTCCCTCCCTCTCTCCCTCTCTCCCTCCCACTCTCCCCCCCTCCCTCCCTCCCTCCCTCCCCCCCACCAGGCCATCGCGTGTGAAGCGCCTCTACCGCTGGGCTCGGTGCTGCAAGTGGCCCCGCCCACCACCGTCACGCCCTGCACTGTCTACTACACCACTGAGGAAGTACGTGGCAGGTGTTGGTTTGTAAGTGGTGGGTGGAGGGCGGTCTGTGGGAGGTGCTAGATGGTGCGCGGTGGTTGGTGCGTGGTGGGTGGTGTGCGGTGGGTGGTGCGTGGTGGGTGGTGGGTGGTGTGCGGTGGGTGGTGCGTGGTGGGTGGTGGGTGGTGCGCGGTGGGTGGTGCGTGGTGGGTGGTGCGTGGTGGGTGGTAGGTGGTGGGTGGTGCATGGTGACTGGTGTGTGCTGGGTGAGATCCATGGATCATACAGGAGGGAAAGAGCAGAAGCCGCTTGTGAGTCTGGTGCGGTTTGCCCCTACTGTCCGTCTGCCAGCACCATGACCCACCTCCCTCCCGCATCCCTGACCCTCATGCCCTCCAGGGCAACACACGTGATGCCCTGCCAGCCTACCTTTCTAAGAGTACAATCCCCAAACTCCTCTTTGTGCCTCTTCCTCCCTGCCCCCTCCCTGTTCCCTCCCTGCCCCCTCCCTGCCCCCTCCCTGCCCCTTGTATGCCCCCTCTGTTTCTCTCCCAGGGAGACACCTGTGAGGCCCTGGCGACCTACTTCGCTCTGGCCAGCACCTGCCCGTCCCCCGAGTGCACGGCAGCCTTGCAGGCGCTCAACCCGGGGGTGGACTGCAGCGCCAACAGCGGGCAGCTGCCGGCGAGCCAGGCGGTGTGTGTGGAGCGGCGGGCGGAGATGGCGGGGGTGGTGGCGCTGTGCTCGCAGTATTACTTCGTGGAGAGCGCCGAGACGTGCGAGTCCATCCGCAACGTGCCCGACCCGCCTCTCTCCCGCGTCGACTTCTACCGCCTCAACCCCGGCATCAAGTGCAGCCGCCTCGTGCCCAAGACCGACGTTGGCAGCTTCACCGGCTTCGAGGTGAGCCTCGGCCCTCGGGTGATTTCTGAGCCCACATGAATCTTGAGTCTACTCGGTAATCACCTCATCACTCGTGGTTTACGCTTCCCTCGCTTTGAGATGAGCTTGCTTGCTTTTTTCTTACCTTGTTTGGTGTGAAGGTGAGGTGAGATATTTACAGGATTTCTTACTGTCCTCTGCAGGCCTGTGTTGGGAGCACGGACAGTCTTCTGCAGGGGACGTGTCCCCGTGCTACTGCAATTACAATCGGCACTGGTGATCGCTGCACCGCAATTCAGGTCAAGTATTTCCGAGGTGTGAAAGGCTGCTACAGGCACATAAACGGTTACGACTGCATTGACAAACTGATTAAGGGTACAAAAGTGTGCATTCCAAGCAAGGTGAAAATAGCTAACGGCAGATGCGAGCCTTGACATCCAAGGAAAACACTGAAGTGACATAAAAAACTATTGAAGTGACGGAAAGTACTTAGGGTACATTCCTGCCTTGACACAAATGTCTCAAATGTATTGTGACGCGGAAAAACAACATAGAACGTGCTATGTCACAAACGCGTGTCGCCCTAATGCGAATGTACCCCTATTTTACATTGGTCAGCGTCACTTGCGCCGGTGTCGCGGAAGAGTTGGACGAGGCCGCGTCACCGCTGTGAAATCGCACGCACGACCAATATCGAGCAATTACACAGCCATGCCGCATGCACCTGGACGCCTGACCCCTTGACAGTTTAGCGCGGGAGTCAAAACCGCCATCCCTGGGCAGCATCGAAAGGGGTTACCGTTCCTCGTGGTACACGCAAGGCTGTCCAACGAAACCACCACAGATCTAGAGCCACCTCTCCAACCTGGATGAAGGATGACTTCGAGTCCATCCTGTTGGTTGTTCATTCTGTGTTTCTTGTTTCCCGGGCCCGCAAGCTCAGAACCCCTCTCAACGCCATGGCTCGTAAGCGCAAGAGCGCCGCTGAAGCCGCCAGCGCCACCCCGCGGGATCTCACTGAGATCCCGTATATTGCTTGGATGCACAAGCAGCTTTCCTCTGGGCGCAAGCCGACAGGCCCGCAGCCATGGGACACTCCTTCGCGTGGCGACACCTCCTACCAGGCCCCCCGTGACGTCCCGACGTGCGGGCGCCGTAACGCCGACCGTGTGGCGTCTTCGCGCAGTCCCGACGCAACCACGTATGACGAGGGTGAGGACGACGCGGACTACAACGAGGAGGCATACTGCACGGACGACGACGCGGACTCCGGAGAAGAGCCTGACAAGGGCATGTCAGACTCGGATGCGGAGAGCGACGACGACGACGCCATCAAGGAATCGCAGCCCGCAACTCCGCCTGTTCGCCGCGGTCGTGGTAAGGCTGGACCGGGAGAGAAGGGCGCCACGGTTGGCGGGGAGCCCCCCCGCCGTCCACCAAAGACCCGGGAGCCCATGCCGGTGAAGTGCAGTGTGTGGTCGCCCACGGAGAGCACGATTCTCGTGGCCGCCCGCTGGTTCATGAAGGATGAGCTGGAGCCGCTTCTGGGAAAGCAGGGATCCCAGTATTGGGCCCGCCTCGTGCGCCACATCGAGAGCGAAAATGAAGGATGGGTCCGCGGCGTCCACGCCGTGCAGAAACAGTGGCGCAACCTCGTCCAAATGTACAAGCAGCTGCATAAGGCGGACAAGGCCTCTGGCAACGGCGTGGTGTGTAAGCCGCCATGGTGGCAGTACATGGTGTTATTTCAGAACAACCGTGCAGTCGCAGCGCCTCACGCCGTCGCCGCCGGTGGTGCCACGCACGTGAATGCGCCGACCGGATTCGCGGTGCCGTCTACATCCGCGCCCTGCACCTCAACGCCCACGTTCACTGGTGAGCAACTTCCGCGTGCTTTGCACGTGTTCTCTATGTTTGTACAAACATCTCGGTGTGAACTATCATTATCATTTACGCTTTACATCATACGGCACATCATCTCTCCGAACTCAATGTCTTCCCTACTGTAATATGCGAACGTGCAGCCCCCCCTCCGGTGACGACACCCTCCAAGCGCCCTCGTGTAGCAGAGACGGCTACCATGGCCGCGGCAAAACTTGTCGCCGACACCATCAAGGATTGCCACGCGGATGCGATGGCAAAGCTGGAGGGGCTCGTCCGCGCATGGATGCAACAGGACGCCGAGATTGCACGCGCCCGCAACCAGCCGCCGGCCCCTCCGCCGCCACCCGTCAACGTCGCCCCCGTGGATGCCGCCACACAGCCCGCCGCGGCCGACGCCGAAGACGACGCCGGAGTCTGGTTCCGGCGCGGTGAGCACGGCGGTGGCGAAGCTACCCCGGACGAGGCTGAGGAAGTGTGGGTTCGCGGCGACGCCGTGTAAGGTAGGAAGACTCTAACGCTTCCCCGAGCCTCTTCCGCCTTTCACGCAGATTCGCCTGGTTGCACGGCACGGCCGGCTCCCACTTGAATTCCGCTGCTGCGCCGCGGGTCCACCATGGATCCCGGTTCCGTGGCAAGTTGGCCCATCCCTCATTGCGACGCCTCACGTCCCCCATCGTCTCACACATGTTGTGCAGGACTACACAACAAGACGCCCCTGCAAGGACGCGCCACAGCGTGCAGTCGTTGCGGCCTGCGAAGAGCCTCCACCTGCCTTTGAAGGCGCCGATGCAGCGCTCCACTGCCATGCGCGTCGCGCTTTGGCAGTAGTTGAAGCACTGCTCCCAATCCTCCATTAGGCCTTCGCGGGGTGCATGCAGGGGGGTTAGGCAGAAATCCCGCAGGGGGTAGGCTGCATCTCCGACAATTTGATAAGGTGCAATGTCACCGTTTTGCAACCTCTCATGTAACGCACTGTCCATGAACACGCGTTGGTCGTGTGCGCTCCCAGGGTAACCGATCAGAAAGTCCCAGATGATGCCGCGTGCATCGCACGTCACTTGCAACTGCACGGCGTATGCGGACTTGCGTGTCCAGTAATCTTGTCTGTGCCCCTCCATCCCCTTCATGTGTACGTGTGTCCCATCAATGGCCCCCACTACCGCAGGTACCCCTTTAACGGCGCGAAACTCCTCGGCCATTTCGTCAAGGTCATCGCGGGTGGGGAAGTGCACCCACTGTTGTTTGAAGACCGTGGCGAAATGCATCAGCCACACATCGACGAGCTCGTGGCACAATGTCTTCGACAACCCGAATAGGTGAGAAAGGTCTATGTACGACAGTCCACTCGCCAGGTACTTGATCGGCACAAGGTTGGCCACCTCGTGGGTAATGTAGTACCGCTCCACGTACGGCTGCATGTAGTGCTTCATGCCCTCGGCCACGTGAGCGAGAATAGCCCTGTTAATCCTGTAAATGTCCCTAAACTCGCCATCTCCCATACCCTGCAGGTCCTCTAGAAGCAAGCCGTAACGCCGGCGCCTCAAGCTACCTCTCCTTGCACGCTCGGCGCTTCTGGTGGAGCGGTGAGACGTCGCGGTAGACGTGTTCTCCTCGTCGAAGGCTTGGGACTCCAGCAAGCCGACTAGCCCCTTGGCGACGGCATCCATGAAGATGCCGTAATAGAAAGAGATCCATGCGACTAGGAGTCGCATGAGGAAGGGAACAGCCCTGGGTTCTGCCATGGCTGAGTTGAGTGGGGGCCATGCTGTGCTTGCTTCGTTTTTTTATGTTCAAAGTTGTAGTCGTAGACGCATTGTGGTTCTGGGGTGGTTGGTGGCTGCGCCAACTAGAAATGCGAAGTTTGTTCCCTACTGGTTTAACCGGGCTGCCCGGTGCCTTCATAATCCTCGTGGTGCAAAAGAGCCAAGTCCAATCGCAAGACGACAGGTGTACAACATTCTGAATCGCTCAAGGTCGCGGTACATCCGGTTTTTTGTGACGCGTAGATAGGCAAATTTACAGTCGCGACTCGGGAATGCAGGCATTGAGACATTTGTGTCAAGGCAGGAATGTACCCTTACAGTAAGCGATTCAGTCGCCATTGAGCTGGTACAGTATTATTGTAGTAGCGTTTAGGGCTACTTCCATTGCAATGTTCTACTAAAACAAGTATCTACCGTATCACCCCGGATATAAGCGCCATGGCGCTTATAATAAAATCGATTTTTTTAAGGGTGGCGCTTGTAATTGAATAATGGCCATAAGCGTCGGTGCTTATATAACGGTGAAAATGAATTTGCATAATTTAGGCATCAAATCGAAGCCCGTATTAAGGCGAACAAGACTGTGTAACGTGCGCATGGCATCATGCATGGAAACACGCCGAAAACAGACGCGCTTCGGTTTCCAACCGCACAAAGCCCGTCCAGGAGCAGCTCACCTGCCAGCGCTGATGCGAAACTTGCCTAGCGGCCCAATCAGACTTTCGTGTGCTGGGTGGCAGCAGAATCCTCACCCGAACCATCTAGAAGCAGCCATCATGCCCTGCCAGCGCAGCATCGTGCGTGGCGCTAAACCCTCCTCTCCGGGTTCAGACAGGGGACACCCGTCTCTCCTCGACGAGGACCCCGTGGCGCTAGCCAGAAGGGGTCCCTTTGAATCCTTCATTTGTTCATTGCTTCTTTCAGTTTTTCGTTCTTGGTTCTTGATCTCTCCCGCCATGCTGCGGAAGCTATGGCGGAATTCACCGGGGTTCACTTCTTGTTCAAGAAGAAGCCTCCACGGAGGCCCGCGTTTAGAGTAGACGAAGACGGGTGGTACTCCCGCGTCCCACCATCTCCACCTAAGCCACCACAGCCTCCTGCGCCTCCTGCGCCTCCTGCTCCTCCTTCGCCTCCTGCACCTCCTGAGCCTCCTGTTCCTCCGACTCCTCCGTGCTCGCATAGTGATGCGCCTCCGCTACACGCTGGATCAACGCCCGTGCTGACGCTGCTGCTCCCATCGTCGTTTGACGAGTACCTCTACGAACCCGAGTCTAAGAAGCCGCAAGATGAGTGGGTGGAAGTGGAGCACGTTCCTGGTTCACGGTGGGGACAGCCTGACGACTGCCCGTGGGACGAATCGCAAGTCGGCGCCGACGATGATGTTGAAGCCGAAGCTGACGCTGACGAAGAGGAAGCGAGCGGCACTGTCGGCGGCGAGTATGGCACGGAAGCGAGCGGCGGGGGCGGCGCCGAGGGCGGCTCCGCTGAAGATGTTTTTCCCGAAGGCGTTCTCGGCGACGATGCTGATGACGGCGTGGAGTACTGGTCACGTGACGGGCTTCCCGAGACCCTGCCGATACCTTCCTATCCCCCGATGAATCGCAAGCGACCCCACCCCTCTTCCCAGAACCGTGATGCCCGCCCCCCCTCTCCCAGGCACAAGCTCACTGAGCACAAGAGGCAAGGTTACACCGCCGCGGAGAAGTTGAAGTGGGTTGCCAGGCTTGCTGTGGCAACGTCGGTGCGCGCTTTGGCTCGCGAGAGCGGAATCCACCCCAAGTGCCTCACGAACTAGAAGCGGGCGGCGGAGTTCCTCAAAGACGTGCACTCCGCTCGGAAACGCATGCACGGCCGCGGTCGGGCGTCGTGGTATCGGCCTATGGAGTTGAAAGTGTACGAGAAGCTTCTCGAGTGGCGCCGCAAGGGAACCGCCGTATCAGTCGGCCGCCTGCAGGAGTGGTCGCGGGAATACATGAAGCTGCTGTACCCGGACAAGCCCTGGAAAGGGAGCCAGAGGTGGTCGGAGCGCTTTCGGCGACGATGGAACCTGAGTGTCCGCATGAAGACCCGGGTTGCCCAGAAAACCCAGTCGCGTAAGAGTTACCCCATGTACTTTGCCGTGTTAATGTTTACTTGTTTTACCGGTACTAACACCCGCCATCTGTGACCGTCCTGCCTTCCACCTCCCTTCAGATGTCGCGGAGCAGTGCAGAAGCTTTTGGAAGTTCGTGCGTGGCATGCGTCGTGAGCGCGGCATCGACACCGCGTCGATCATCAACGCGGACCAGACGCCGCTCTGGCTGGAGATGCCCGCCACCACCACCGTGGATGAATCGGGTGTTCGCTCGGTGCCTATCAGGAGCGCAGGGTATCAGAAGCAGCGTGTGACGGTGATGTTGGCGTGTGCGGCGGACGGACGGAAGCTGAAGCCGTGGGTGTACTTCAAGCGCAAGACCGTGCCAAAGGGCAATTTCCCACCCGGTACGTCAATTGGTGCACTGCTCGTTAACTGCGGTTTGTTCAGACTGCGAATTCTAACTGCTTCTCTTGTTTCCTGCAGATGTGGTCGTGGCTGCACACGAGAACGGGTGGATGGACTCCGCGGGTGTCGTCCGCTGGCTTGAGGAGGGCGTCAAGCCCTTTTTGAAGCCCAGGTTCGGTAGATGCGCCAAGAGCTCGATGCTGGTGCTCGACTCTTACCGCGGTCACCTCACCCAGGAAGTGAAGGACAAGCTTCGCGAGATGAACTGCGTGCCGGCAATCATCCCGTCGGGCTGTACGGCGGAGGTTCAGCCCCTGGATGTCTCCATCAACAAGAGCTTCAAAGCGTCGGTCCGCCAGCAGTACCAGCGGTGGTTTGAGGCAGAAGGGCAAGAGCAGCTGACGACAGCAAGTATGGAATGAGCGCGTTGTTGTGTTTCAACCCCCCTTCCTTTTGCTTACCGTATGTATTGTTGGATTAACGGGATTCCATCGTTCTCCCGTTATTTTCAGGGAACTTGAAGAAGCCTCCTCCGGAGGTCGTCCTGAGGTGGATATCTTTGGCCTGGAAGTCAGTGCCTGCCGAGCTGATAAAGCGTGCCTTCCTCACCTGTGGCATCAGCAACGCGCTCGACGGCAGTGAGGACGGCCTCGCCATGGCGCACAGGCGGAGCCAGCTGACGGCGGAAGTGGACGTCGACGATGACATCATCGCTGATGGGTTTTTTGGCAACAACTGCCAGGAGCCCGAATCTGACGAAGACTAGACTAGTTAGCTAGAATTAGTGTTGCTAGACCTGCTGTTTCAGGTCTCTGATGTTGTAGCTGCTGTCATGATATTGTTATGAATGTGATAATGTAAAACCAGCTAAGTAGTTGAATGGTGGCGCTTATAATAAGTACACAAATCTCAGGGGGGGCGCTTCTAATCGAGGTCCGGCCATAAGCGCCATGCTCCAGATAGAGGCGCCAGCGCCTATAATCGGACGGCGCCTATATCCGGGGCGATACGGTAAAAGATACGGTATTAGGACTCATCTCAGCTTAGCCCAACACTTTGTGGATCCAGTCTCTTACTTGCAACGTACGGTAGCGGTTCATGCATGCACTACAATCAGATGCAAGCTTTCTTCAAAGGTAGCGCATACAAAAGCCCGCTACCTGAATCTTGCATACTCCAGTGTTCGTAGCATTGCAATTTGCATTCGCAAGTTAGGCTCGGCACCACTCAGCCTACTACAGCGATGCATCATGCGTGGCCTACGCTTCAAGACTCTCGTCCAAGCATCGCTGCCATGCCAGCATTGCATAACCTAGCTTGCATTCGTGCAGCATAATTAACGTTTTTTGCTATTTAGTGTTGGCTCATGCCTTAGCTCACACTGTACCGTACTTGCTGGACCATTTCGTGCAATCCTAGTTTGCTTGTTTCCATTGCATACACTTAGTTTTTTGTGAGTGAGAGATTAAGGGGGCAGTTCTTAGTGAACCACGTTTGCAATTGCATTCAAACTTGAGGTTGTGTAAGGAAATTTCAATTTCCTTACGCCGCATCCCTGCTTAGCGTGTACATCACTGTAGTACCACAGTCGGCACCGTTACCACTCGCGACCCTTACTTTGACAATCTTCCCACCACCTCGCACGTCGCAACCCAGCCTCCCGGCTCGGCTGGTAACCCGCGCTCCGGGCCTCCGCCTAGACACTTTCCCGACCTCAATCACAGGCCCGTCGCGCGTCAACTACAGTTCGTTACCGTTACCATTGTGGCCTTCGCTATTTAGTTCTCGATCATTCCTTCGTTCATTGTACTGTTTTACTTCGGTAGTGCAATTCTCGCTCACTCGCTCAATTGCACTCGTAACACTTGGTATCCAGAGCCTACGATCTTCTCTCGCACCGCATCCACACCTTCGCTTCCCCACTATCTCGATTTTTTTGGGGGGGGGGGAGTAGACGCCTCTTAGCGAACAAGCACCGCAGCTCGAAGTGCTCTCTCGTAAGCACGCATGGCATGCCCTCTGAAGTCAGAATTTTTTCTCTGATTTGGACTTCTTTCTCTGATATTTCAGATTTTTTTTCCTGTGTACTCTGATAAAATCAGACTTTTTCGGGCCTCAACTCTGCAATTTTCAGACTTTTTTAAAGGCTAACTCTGAGAGTTCAAAGTTTTCTGAGAGTGTACTCTGATAATTCAGAGTACAAACGCGTCCTTGACTGGAGATTCGGACTTACGGGTCACAGCAGATTCGCATTGTCAACGCAAAATCGCATTGACACAGCAAATCCGAGTCTTACAGCACTAGATTTTCGCCCAATCATAGGAAAATCGCCCTGACACAACAGATGTGCGCTGTCAGAGTACAGTAATCTTTGCCCAATCACAGCAAAATTGCCCTGACATTGCAGATTCGCCCATTCGCACCACAAGATTCGCCCTGACTCATACATTCGCCCTGTCATAGCATGTTTTGATAGTAGATGAATGAAACATTGAAT